CCAATAGAAAATTGCATGTATACTGAGATGATGCAATATTAGCCTTTAATTGCATCACTTCACTGCATAAAAGCTGCAGTATCTGTAGCTGATTGTAGTTCGACAGCGTCTTTACATTTCGTTTTATGCTTATATAGGCTACTCAGTAATGCCTCGAACTTGTGTGAATAAAGCAGATAATTTCTGCTATATCTGCGGTGAAATAACTTTTATCTCACAAAAAAGGAGGATAACAGGAATGATTAAGAAAGCCTACAACTTGTATTTTGGCTGCAAGATAGGAGACCAGGACAAGAGCTGGGCACCACATATATGCTGCAATTCTTGTGGGACGGCACTGGAGCAATGGTTGAATGGAAAAAAGGCATCTATGCCTTTCGCTGTGCCAATGATTTGGAGAGAGCCAACAGATCATGTTAGTAATTGTTACTTTTGTATGGTGCCTCCAACAAAAGGGCTAAATAAGAAGAAAAAAGTTATCTGTGCACTATCCAAATATTCCATCGTCAATACGTCCAGTTCCTCATGGAGAGGGGCTACCAATTCCTAAAGCACCAGAATCCTTCGTGGTTGAGTTAAGTGAGGAAGAACCTGAAGCATGTAGTCACGTGCAGTTGTAAGAGATAGCCCTTTCCTCGAATACAAGAGAAAAGCCAAGAGAAGCAAAACCGACACAAACTGAAGACAAAACTAGTGAGAATCCTAACTATTAAAATGATTCAACTTAGCTTATGGCTATAATTTTTCTTGGTAATCCTATGCAATATATTATGCCATTTAGGCTTTGTTATGTAGTCAATATCACTTGCTTTATATTTGTGGAAAGACATCTATCTATATAATTATTGTGCATTATGTAGTCATTACGCCTATAGTAGAAAACTTTCCGTTTACAGAAAAACTAGAGCCAATTGACAAATTTCATTGTTATATTTGAACTCAGAATGTGAAATTCATTAAGAAATGGATCCTTTTGTTTCCAAAACTGGCAAAAAATAAAAATTTGTTGAACAGTGTAATCAGGCAATCAGTCAGTGGATTGTTTCCCCTAAAAGTAGTTTTTCTTATTTTTCTTTAAGATGAAGCTAAGAGTCTGATCTAAAGAGTCTGACCTAGAACATTACAAACAATCATATGTCCGCTTTCCAGGGGCGTCCCTAGGGTTGGTGTCACCTGGTGCGGTAACACTTGGTGTCACCCCTCCGACGATTCCCGCAGGATGGATCAGATCTGTGGATTGAGCATAATGGATCGGAGACCAATTCATTATGCTCCCCAATCCGCAGATCTGATCCCTCCTGCGGGGATCGTCGGCTTGCAACCTATACGGGGTTAACTGATCTCTCCACGAGCTCCACGAAAAGGTACGTTTTAAAGCAAGCCAACAATCCCCGCAAGATGATCGGATATGCAGATTGGGGAGCATAATGGATCAGACTCCGCAGATAAGACAGAGAAAGAGTTGTAGACTGGGGGAGGTGGGGGGAAGACAGTCACAGAGGGGGTTGTAAAACTGTTGGATAGTGTTTTAGAAAACCCAGGTCTAGAATTAGGCCATTATCTTTTGTGTCAAATAGAACTATCATTCTTAGTTCAAAAGTTTTCCTTTCTTAATTAGTTTTGAAATTCCCATTAAAAAAACTAAGACATTGAGGTCTTCCATAGTGTGGTCCGGATGTGAAAAAAGATGTCCCACAGATGTGTCTTCCTTATGCTCTTTGGTGTGCCTGTGCAAATTCATCCTCGGTTGTTAAATCTGTCCTAACCCAATATCCCCTGATGTGGTTAAGATCACTGAGAAGTGAATAACATTGATTATCTCGTTATAAAGGCATCTGAGAGTCAGTGAGATATATATGACAGCAAGTAAACATGTTGTCTGAGAAGTTTATATGTTAAAAGCAGAAAAATGGGCATCTCAGTTTGTTGTGTATGGGGCTATGTATCTACAGACCTGTTAGGGTGCTCATGTGACCCACGTCCACAGCCAGAAGTGCCTACAATGGGCATGTGAGCACCGGAATTGGACAATGAAGCAATGGAAGAAGGTGGCCTGGTCTATTGAACCACATGGCTGGGTGGATGGCTGGGTGAGTGTGTGTGAGTGTGTGTGTCAATTACCTGGGGAAGAAGGCAAGGCAGAGGAGGCAGTATGATGCTTCAGACAATGTTCTACTGGAAAACCGTGGGTCATGTTATTGATGTGGATATTACTTTGACACATACCACCTACCTAAAACATTGTCGTCGACCAAGTACACTCCTTCATGGAAACAGTGGTGGTTATTTACTAAAACTGGAGAGTGCAAAATCTTGTGCAACTCATTTTAGAAACCAATCTGCTTCCAGGTTTTATTGCTGAAGCTTGAACAAGGTCAAATTAAATCTGATTGTCCACCATGGACAGCTGCACCAGATTCTGAGTGCTCCAATTTTGGTAAATCTACCCCAATATTCTCTGATAGCAGTGGCCTCTTTCAGTACGATAATGCACCCTTCCACACTGCAAAAATGGTTAAAAAATGGTTTGAGGAATGCAATGACGAGTATGAGCTGTTGACTTAGACTCCAAGTTCTCCAGATCTCATACCAATCAAGAATCTGTGAGATGTGCTGGAAAAACAGCTCCAATTCATGAAGGCCCCGGCTCACAACTTACTGACGGCTTGGTGCCAGATACCACAGCATACCTTCAGTGGTCTAGTGGTGCCCAAGCTGTTTTGGGAGCAAAGAGGGGTACTAGTAATGGTGTCGATCAGCGACTTATAATATCCAATATCCACATGAATAACAGGACCCAAGGTTTTCGAGCAGAACATTGTCTGAAGCATCATAATGCCTCCTCTGCCTTGCCTTCTTCCCCAGGTAATTGACACACACACACACATAAAATGTATTCTGCTACATGTCTTTGCTAAAAAAAAAAATCCCAATATGTGTAAATTAATTGGTTTATGTGAAAGTTATAGTGTTTACAGATGGCGGTAGAGATACTGGAATTTATTTTTTTTTTACTAGTAATGGCGTTGATCAGCGACTTATAATATCCAATATCCACATAAATAACAGGACCCAAGGTTTTCAAGCAGAACATTGTCTGAAGCATCATAATGCCTCCTCTGCCTTGCCTTCTTCCCCAGGTAATTGACACATACACACACACACACACACACACACACGCACACACAAAATGTATTCTGCTACATGTCTTTGTTTAAAAAAATCCCAATATGTGTAAATTAATTGGTTTATGTGAAAGTTATAGTGTTTACAAATGGCGGTAGATACTGGAATTTATTTTTTTTTTACTAGTAATGGCGTAGATCAGCGACTTATAGCAGGACTGCGGCGGGCATTCTGACACTGGGGGGAACTGACTTGCTGTCAATGACATCCCCAGTGACACCAATACAGTGATCAGTGCTAATAAAAAACACTGACACTGTACTATTGACACTGGGCAGGAAGGGGTTAACATTTGGGGCAGTCAAAGGGTTAATTGTGTGCTGTTTTACTGTAAGCTGCTATGCTATGCAGAGCCATACAAAGCAGTGTGCAGGAGCTGACAGGGGAGAGAACTGTGTTGTTTATATACAGTTCTCTCCCCCCGTTGGTAATACTTGGCGATCACCGGGTGTCGGAGAGTAATCACCAGCCAGAACCTGGTGATTGACAGCCGAGACTCTGAAAAGCGATGCACCCCTGCCGCCCTGTAGCAGTATTTCTGCTATAGGGTGGCGGGAAAGTGGTTAACACTAATTTTAAATTTCATATTTTATTATATGAAACTTATAGCCATTTCACTCCTTGTAGCAACAATCCATTTAAAACCCCCAACAGTTTTTTTTATGCATATACAGATCCTACAAAATATGTATATAACTGAAAACAGGAAAAGCAGTGTACTGGCTTAGGTTTACAACAGAAATGACAGTGCAGCTTCTTTTAAACATATAATTGTTTATTTGCTTTAACTACAAACAATTCAATCACAAAAATGTACCAACATGTTTTTAAATATAAATTTGGGCTGACGTCATGAGTCAATACACCATATACTTTATTATCAACATTTAAAACTTTTTTTTAATGTATGATTATTTCAATAAAATGATTTTTTTTCATAAAAGAAATGATTTATGTGTAATACATTTATGTAGCACCTGCAAAATTCCACAATTTCTTCAATTTATTTCAAATATTGACACATTAACAGAAAGTAAAATAGAAAAATTCTGTGATGCAAACCAAGTTTATGTCTTAATACTTTTAATCCAAATTTGCTCCTCTGCACTCTACTTCCAAAAGATCTAATGACTTCTGTGGCACTCCTATAGTTAAGAGCAGGGGCGGACTGACAACTCATTGGGTCCATGGGTAATAGGGGATCATGGGGCCCCTGTGTCCTCGCTCATACTCAAACCACACCCAAAAAAGCCTATGAAAGGTACCAGGGGCATCTCATGGGGCCCCCTACTTACCCCGGGCCCTTGGGCAGTGCCCGAGTGCTCGAATGGGCAGTCTGCCCCTGGTTAAGAGATTACTGCAAATAAAGACTTGAGTGCTTGAGGTGGTGAGATATTGGACTATTGTGCACATAACACACAAAACTTAATTTGGTAAACTTGTGCAAATAACAATGAAATACTGTGACTATAGCAAGTAAACTAGTTTTTAATGTGCTACTATTGATTTGTGCATATTGTGTATTTAACATTAAACCTACTAAATAAAAAAAAATCTGCACCACAGAGCTTTATGTGTTTGATTTTATATCAATCATGACATAATGATGGTAGTGTACTTTATGATGTCATTCAATACCATAATATTACACTGGATTTTATTTATGCAAAGGAATTAGCATCAACACATTTTTATAATTGACAAATTTAAGACAGAAGGTGAAGTGCCACCCCAAAATAATTATTGATAATAAAAAAAGTGAAATTTGAATGAACCTTTGGTAGGTTTTGACAAGTTTCAGCTTGATTCTTCTAGAAAATGTCCTCCTGCATGGTTTCAGTTGCTTGCTCATGAAGTTTAAGGAGTTTCAATGAATCCTGAAATTGAAAACTATGTTTAGGCATGCATTGTTTATTAAAATGTTTCTTACACAAACTTCAGTGGGTGCAGATCACAAAAGAAAAGGCATTAGATTCTTTCATTAGTACTATTTTTGCCTAAAAAGTAAGTTCACTAAAAGTTTTATTGCTCAGTTCAGATGAATTTACTATTTTTGTAGTATTTTGCCTGTAAAGTCAATTTGCAAATTTGATTTTCTTTACCTAAGGAACTTATATAATGGTTTTCTATATAATGTGCAATCATTGTGGTCAGGATTGAAAAAAAATAAAATACAAATAAAAATAATATTTTTAAAGTCTATGTTTGTTATTTTGTCAGAGCATGCATTGTCTATTAAAATGTTTCTTACACAAACTTCACTGGGTGCAGATCACAAAAGAAAAGGCATCAGATACTTTCATTAGTACTATTTTTGCCTAAAAGGTATGTTCACTAAAAGTTTTACTGCACAGTTAAGTTGAATTTACTATTTTCGTAGTAAATTGCCTGTAAATTTGCAAAAATGATTTAATAGATTTTCTTTACCTAAAGAACTTATATAATGGTTTTATATTTAATTTTTAATCATTGTGGTCAGGATTTTTAAAAAAATGTTAATATTTTTAAAATCTATGTTTACTATTTTGTCAGGGAAGTATGAAATATTATATATTTAAAAAAAATACTGTATATCATTAGCAAATAGTGCTCAGTTATTTTTCACATTTTCCAGGTTTTACAGTCCCTCAACTGGAGCCGAGATTTACACAGACAAGTAGAAACAGGAGTCTGATTAAAGTCGGGGCAGTTTGCAGTATTCAGATGCTTGAAATTAGTCGTTGGGCGGCAATCACATCACTAAAAACACAAAAAACTCCTGGACTCGATGGCTTCTCGGCACTGTATTATAAAAAATGACGTTTTGGCCCCTCATTTTACCAACTTATTTAACCACCTACATTCTCATTCTGACCTACACTCATCGTCAACAACGGCCCAAATACTCATGATACCAAAGCCTGGGAAGGATTCTAAGGACCCACATAACTTTCGACCCATCTCCCTGTTGAATGTCGATATTTTAAAATTCTCGCTAAAATTCTTGCTACCAGAATAAATACATTCCTACACAACCTTATTCATAAAGATCAACTGGGCTTCGTTCCCTTTCGGCAGACCCCTGATAATACCCACAGAGTAAGTAATCTAATTCGCTGGACGGTCCTTAGCTTGGATATACATAAGGCATTTGACTCCCTTTCCTGGGAATAAATGTACTATATCTTAAACAAGAGGGGTTTTCCTGACGCTTTTACGTCATGGCTAGGGGCTCTGTACCACAGACCCTCTGCCACGGTTCATTTCCTCTCTCGACAAGTCCTTTTTTTTCAATTTGCAGGGGCACATGGCTGGGATGCCCTCTATCTTCTATACTCTTTGTTCTAGCCTTGGAACCTTTAATATATCGGTCAGATCTAATAAGGTGCAATAAAGGAATCACAGTTGGTCAACAGTCGTTCAAAGTTAGCTCCTTTGCAGACAATATGCTTCTAACTCAACCTCATACCACCCTTCCTATCCTCTTTTCTACTTTCACACGCTTTCTCTAATATCTCTGATTTGATAGTGAATGAACACAAATCCTCTGCTCTTAACATCTCCCTCCCCAAGGCGGAGATCACCTTATTAAAACAAACTATAATTTTACCTTGCCTAATACTCACCCAAAACTATCTAGCGATCCGCCTCACCTGATCCTTTTACACATTCTACGAAGCTAATTACATTCCAACTTTTCGCTCCCTCAAAGCTCTGCTGGTGTCCTGGTCCCATCATCATCTTTCATAGATCAGTTGAATCAATGCTATAAAAAAGACAATACTTCTGAAAATTCTATATCTGTTTCGTACTTTTCCCGTTTCTATCCCCTTTATGCTCTTAAGCCATTCCAGAATTATGTTCTGAGATTTATTTCCAATAACAATAGACCTCGGATTTCTAAACATACAAATGTTCATACATAGGAAACAAGGGGGCTTGGGGGTTCCTAATGTTGCTAAATATTATGTAGCGGCTCAAATTGCATCTCTGACCTCTATGTACACCGCACATGTAGTCCTTTTATGGGTCACCTTGGAGGCTACATCTTGTTTCCTGGTTTCTCCTCGTTCACTTTTGTGGCTCCCCCCACATCCATAAGCCCCTTAATATCCCACCTGTTATGAGTCTGGGACTCTACAAAATATTCTACTGCCCTGATCTTCCCCCACCTACCACTTCACCCCCTTTTAGGAAATCCATTGTTCACTCCAGGCCTTGAGTCCGCCAGTGCCTTCCATTAGTGGACCTCCCATAATCTCCACTGTGTTCACTCGTTCCTCAATAGTCATTCCAAATATACCTGGGTGGAAATTAGGGATAAATACCAGGCCTCCCATACTGAACTTTTTAGATTTCTACAGATTAACCACTGGCTGTCCTCAGTGCTCACTGACAAAATCCCGATGACCCAGCTGTTTTTGTTTGAACATATTTGTCATCGGACACCCTTTTCCCCAAAAAACTTATCTCTCCACTCTCTACTTGCAGTTGAATATCCTCCAAAACGCTAACAATCACACGTACATTTCCAGGTAGGAAAGGGATCTTAAAAGCAGTAGGGAAAAGAGCTGCTGGTCACAAATTTGGACAACACTGACTTCCTGTTCTATTAATGTTCTCACTATTGAATTGGCCTTTAAAACTGTCATGAGATGGTACCTGATCCCTTCCCGCTTGGCATACCTTCATCCCTCCACTCTTGGTACTTGATTCAGGGGGTGCTCTAATCCAGGAGATGTCCTCCATGTATGGTGGACATGCCCTATGCTTGCCCAATTCTGGACAAAAGTCCTAAACTTCTACAATCTTTATTAACCTGTCCCTTCCCAAAAGACCCGTGGCATGTCCTGTTACATCTGAAACCTCCGGGCGTCACTAAATACCAATTTAAACTGGCTACGTATGTACTATTGGCGGCAAAACAAACCATAGCAAAAGCTTGGAAGCAACAGTTCACACATTTTACAGAATTAGCCGCCATTTGGATTTCTTTTTCATTAATGAAAAGCTTTCCAGCATCCTTTTAGATACACCTGAGAAATTACTTAAAATATGGACCCCATGGATCAAACATGCCCATCCTAGTATGTCAATACACAATGCTATAAACACTGAGACTTGGGACCCAGGCTCAAGTACCCTTGATGTCCCCTTCCAACAACACTTGGATCCAGAAATACCCAACTGAAACTGTTTATGTTTGCAAGGCTTTAAAAAAATAACCTGTTTTATGGTTAAGGAAATAAAAGATCTGTCTCGCTATTTATTTAGCTGAACTGGACAAGACAGTTTCAGTTTCTGTTATTGTTCAGAAATGTAAGGACGTTAGGTAACAATTGACAGCCTGAAGGTCTGGTGGAACATCTACCTGCGAAGACTTGAGAAAGGTTAAATGGAAATCAATTTAACCTTTCAATATATTTTATAAGACAAACAGTTGATAGTTTTGGGGACACTTTTGAAAAAGACTATAAAGGTTGCATCGCTGTTTCAATATATGTATATATAAGGCATAATGATATACAAAGGATTCAACCATGAGCAAGATACCATTACCATATTTATGTTTGATTGTAATCCTTAAAAAATGCATAATCTCTTCAATGTCAGGAATAAATTGCAGTATACTCCATTCTAAGGAATATAATTAATATTTTGAAGTAATCGCTGGCTAAATATTACATTTCTTTAGCCAGGGTTTCATGTTTAAAATGCTATTATACTAAAAATTAAAAATCATAAATGCCACAAACACCTCGGAGAGGTATGATTATATACCCTCTTAAATGAATTGACACATTGAGATAAATCTAAGGATACAATTAGTTTATCCTCAAAAGATTGAATCAAATAAATCCACCTTTTATTCCCAGAAAACCTAATATAGGAATTTCTAGTCTTACAGTGCCATCTGGTGGTCAAGTTTAGTTATTAACTGTGCAAACAAATAGTTAATAGGTAATATTACCCTCCAATCAGAGGTGGGTAAATTTTCAAAACTACACCCTCTGAGATGGTCCCTAGATTAAGGCAATGTTTGGGGAAATAAAAGAGGAAGCTCAGAGAGAGAATGGATGAACCTCATCAATATCCATCTATTCATCACAATCCATCTTGAATCACCATCCACATCATCATCCTAATCAGCATGCTCTCATACGGCTTGCTCTCTCAGTCTCAGACTGATCTCGTTGAAGGTCCTACCAGGGTGCGGCTCTTAACTCAACACCAATAACTCCTGGTGTACAGTGTCATTCGCTAATTAATTTAGAAATTCCATCTTACTTCTGAGGGTAACTAATGTTGTGTTATTATCTGGATGATTATTGCTTGTTTAATGTAACATTCCACTTTCGATAGATTTTGGTTGTTTAACCACTTGCCGACCGCGCATAGCCGAAAGACGGCTTCACTGCGGCCGGCCAGTTCTGAGTGGACGTCATATGATGTCCTCCCCAGAACGCGCTCTTGCGCCCCAGGGGGCGCGCACCCGGCGATCTCCGTGATCGCTGTGTCCTACGGACACAGCTGATCACAATTGATGTGGTGAAAGGCATCCCACCGGCCTTTTACCACGTGATCAGCGGTGTCCAATGACACGCTGATCACAGGAAAATGCAAGTGCCGGTTCTCGGCTGCACTTTCCTCACGCTGTCAGATCGTGAGGAAAGTACTGCCGAGAACCGGCAGTTGTCAGAGCGGGGATCGGCACCGATCATCACTGATGATCAGTGCCCTGATGATCGGTGCCCAGCAGTGACCCCCGCAAGTTCCGATCAGCAGTGCGCCCACTAGCCCCGCCCACCCATTCCCAGCAGTGCCCCCACCTGTGCCCAGCAGTGCCCCCACCTGTGCCCAGCAGTGCCCCCACCTGTGCCACTCTGCAGTGCCACCT